TATATATATATATATATATATATATATATATATATATATATATATACGAGGCTGACTCAAATTTGATCAACATGTTCCCAAAGGAAATTATTGGGTTTATTAAAATCCTAGGAAGGGCTAAACAGGATTGCGATAATCCTATCCTATAGTCTCGCTGATGGTAAACTGTTCTCCAATCCTCCTCCAGCCAACCAGAGGCAGGGTAATAAGGGAAGACTGGGCTGTTCTTAGTCTAAGTTAGAAGTGGCTATGGACTGCCGAAGTAGCCCGACAAGCTCTCATCTACAAAAGAAGTGTCGCTGGCAAAATGTAATGTGTTGATGACTGTTATATTACATCTAAAATCCCATTTACTAGTAATAGAAAAGTTCACTTAAGACTTTTGCCTTATGTCTCCCGGTGCTTGATACAGCATTGTGTGATATTAGCAATTTTCGCTTCAGGCGTATTCACATGCAACAGTGAAGACTTCACAAGAATTTGCACATTTGATCCAGGGTGAAATTATGCCATTTTTCATAACAAGTCAACTTTTTCCAGGCAGGAAAATGAAAGGTGCTTTTTACATCTAGAGAAATACAAGTGTTTTCAAGGAATTTTGTGCTTACAAAAAAAAAGTTGGCTTTAATGAGATCACCATTGAGCTCATTCTAAAGAAAATATCATCTGCTAAGAAACCTGTTATCTCACTTTCTGACTGTGAGCAAGTTTCTTAACTCTTCTTGTTTCAATTTCCTTTCATTTATTTACCCACTCATTTGATTATACTTAACTAGCTGTACAAAGGGTTTCAATTCAACATGTCAGTTTGTTATCATCAAAAAGCAACACGTACACACCACACAATCGTGTGTTGAGCATTCATTGTCTTCTATGGGTATTGTCTATGTATTGTCTTCACATCTGTAGTGTCACACAACAAAAAAATGTTTGTGAAAGACAAAATTGTCGTTTATGTAACACGTGAAATTCCACCTCTGTGGTGTTTTGCTTTTTGCTGTACAAAAGCAACAGGAATTTATTCATGCAGGCCTACTGATTTGCAGACTGGAAGTAAATACCAGACCTTTTGCAGCGATTACCAAGAGCCCCCTTCAGTAAAAATGATATATTGCCTTCCTCCATCACATTAAAGTGGAGGATTGAAGAGCAAGCCCAGCTGAGCCATTCTGTACACACCTAGCCAGGCTGCAATTTATATTCAGGCAGAACTGTGAGTGGCATTCAGAAGAAAACAGAGAGGAAGAGCTTTCCTGTGGAAAATTCCTATCAGAAGCAGAACCAAATGCTGATGTGTCACTGTTTTAAATACATATATAATGGTTCTTTTCTTTTCAGATAAATTCTTTGTGTCCTATAGAACTGATATCTAAGACAAGATCTCCTTTTTAAAAATATTGACCCTTAGATGATTTTTTCTTTCAAATGTTGCATATAATTTTTCCTCTCTACATTTTTGTATGGAGGATGCAGTCTATGAATTCTGGTTTCTGACCATCCATGAGAAATTATCCAGCTAGGCGTGGTGCTGCATGCCTGTAATCCAAGCTATGTGGAAAGCATAGGTATTGTACTGTGATCTGAGGCTGGCCCCAGACAAAAACAAGAAAATTATCTGAAAAATAAAAAAAGCAGAAGAAGATTGGGATATGTGACTTAGGTGATAAGAGTTCCTGCCTCCCAAAAGTGAGGTCCTGATTTCAAGCCCCAAGACACCCCCCCCACAAACACACACAGAGAAAGAGAGAGAAAATCATCATAATAAAAGGAAATCATCCAGCTTCACTTTCAAGAACTGTGCCTCAGAAAGGGGCTTGCATGGGAAAACTGAAGAGAAAATACCAATTGATAAAGCAATCAGCCATCAGGTCCTTCAGATATTTTTTTTAGTTTTATTATTTTTTAAAGTGTACAACATTGCTCACTATGATATTTGCATATATGTGTAAAATGAATGACTACCCTCCAATTACTCTTTTTTATTCCTCTCTACCCATACTCTAAAAATAATTTTAATGTATTTCATTCTATTTTACTGAATGCATATAATGTACTCAAGTCGTATTCATCCCACCACCTTCTTCTTTGCCTTCCTCGTTGCTATATTTCCACAATAGTGCCTATCTTATATTCATGTTCTTATTTTTGTTTTGTTTTGAAGTGTTTAGGTCTAGATTCTACATGACATAGAAAACAAGCAATATTTGTCTGTCTGAGTCTGGCTTATTTAGCAAAACATGATGACTTACCTTTTATGGGGTATATGTGGTATTTTTAACAAGAAGTTTGGCAAATATAGGGTGCCAGAAAAATGCCACCTGGGATTCAATTTCGGGTTTGGTGGTCAAATGGTCTAAAATAAACTATCAAGTATTTTTGCGTGTATCTACATACACACATATATTTGTGTATAGCTGTATATATACCTGTATATATGCATAATATATGTATGGGTGTATATGTTACTTGACCCTGATAAATTATATTTTAATAACAAATAGTTTCCATTTTTTCATGGAACAAAGTGCTCCCTAAATTAAGTTATTTTACTGGTATTACTTTTAGTGGTTTCATCACCTTTCCGGGAACATATTTGAAGCAGTCAATGAAACTCTGGTGTAAAATATGGAAGGAAACTGTGTGAGGGCCTGGGAGTGTGCTCAGTGATAGAACACTTGCCTACCTTGTAGCGGGTTAAAGTCCCAGAGATTCCAAAGAGAGAGAGACAGAGACAGAGAGAGACAGAGACAGAGAAGGAGAGATAGTGTATGAAATTAAAAGGGATAATCATCATACCATAACAAGTATATAAAAAGTATATGAATATGTAAATATAGCTATACTAGCAAAATACACAAATAGGATGGTTCTGATTGAAATTAATTTTATAGATATGACAGAGATAGTAGCTTTGTGGGTGGTGATATCACAATGTCTGTGGCTTGAGGACCTTGCTGCCTTCGGGTTCTGGCGTAATTTGCTCTCATCTCTGTCAGTTGCTTTAACTCTGTTAAAAAAAAATAAAAAGAAAAGCTTTGAGGAAACAAGTCAGTGAATTTACTAAAAATAATTAAAAGTCCAGGATGATGAAAACCTTGAAGATCCCTCCCACTCCGGTCTCTCTTTACACAGTTGACTTGCTCATCACAGAAGATATATGTTAAGAGTCTTTGGATTTTTATGGCATGGAAGGGCAAACCCTCCCACTAAAAAAGAAAACCGAAATGCAAACAGCATTCAAATTTTCTCAGTTTCATTTAGTGTTTGTATGAAAAAAATCATTCTAATATCATCTGGTTTGTTTTTCCAGATTCATTTTCAGAAATGCAATGTGATTGTTTGATGACTAACTTCCACCTGCTAAATTTGTTTCAAAATCATAAATAATCATGGCAAGTTTAGTCTTCAAACTCCTAGGCAGTCTTATTTTCTAACTACATACTTCAGCCAGGACATAAAAAATAATCATATATGGAATGAGAAATTGTTTAGATGTCTTTCAATAAGTACATACATGTAAATAGCATTTCTCTTGTATCCTTCTTCTAAAGCCTTTTGAGTATTTAGATTTCTATCATAAGATTGTTTTTAATGGTCTTTTAGGAAAAATTTAGTAAGTTTCTGAAGAACAATAGAATTAGACTTGGAAATCAATAATATTTTCTAAAATACATAAGCCTCTTTGGGAAGAACGTAGACAAGTGGAGGAAAATGACTAATCCTTTCATGATGAAGAATATAGTGAGGTGTCTACTTTCATAGGAAAGGAATTGTCTTTCACAGCGTAGTTGTGAGTATGTTCACAGAACAGAAGATGCAGAGATGAACATTTGTCTACAGAGACTCGTTCCCAAGCCCGCAGAGTGAACATGGAGCAGTGAGAGAGGGTTTCACTGGTGGCAGGCTTGTTTCTGGGAAAGCAGCCCATTCTGTGGTTTGGGCAGCCTTTCAGCGAATCTGCCTGACACATAATTAGCTTTATTTATCAGATAGGCCTAGTGAACACAATATGGCAAGGAGAGTAGAGTACAGGTAACAGAAGCTTGTCCTAAGAAAGACTAAGCATAATGAAGGGACTAAGCAAGGCTTCTTACTGAACCATTTATGTGTCTACTTTTCAACTGACTTCATTTCAAGTGTGCGCATCTTCTCAGATAGACTGAAAATTCTTCCAGGAAAGGAAGCCTGGAATATTCACAGGGAAAGCTGTCAATTCATACTTACTGAGGATGGGAATTCTTCTAAGCAACCAAGAGGGCTACTTAGAAGGATCACCAAGAGCTGGAATGATGGGTGATAATGGACAATAAGAAGAGCAGAGCAAATAATTCAGACTGGAGCCTGTCTGTGATAAGGACGATGCAAAAGAAATATTTAGGGCAATCCTCAGAACAATGCCAGACATGCCAATAAACCTTTTCTCCTCATTTTTTATCTTCATTCTTATACTATTTGTCTCCATGATAAATGTAAAAATATGACTATATTAAATGTATCTGGATCACTCCCTTATATATAAGGTAATGATGATTTCATAGTACCTTTTAAAAAGATAAAAATTCTAGGATTTTTTTATTATTGGAATGTCAGGTGATTCACTCCCTAATCTTTTAATTTCTTACTTAAAGTAAAAATAAAGTTCTATGGAATTTCCTGAAAATTGTGTCTTTGTTAATATATACCTACTTATTGGAAAGGGATTACATTTCTCAGCATAAACAAGACAAAAATGTTCTTTCCATTTCTGCTATTTATCAAAGAAAATGGTTAAGGAACAGAACAAGATAATAAGCCTAGCATATATTTACTCATTACTAAAGCATTTGTATTAACAAGATATTGTTTAAAACATATGTTTGAAAAGTAGGAAATCGTTGGAGCCTTACTTTCCTCAGGATGGGTAAGAAAATATTTTAAAATGAGACTCTCCTAAGTATTTCTACAAAATAGCCTGGGGAAGGCTCAGACTAACTGAAATTTGAGGTTTATTAGAACAACGTTAATATAATATTCGGGCACATAGACACTGTAAATTGGGATTTTATAACATGATAGAGGAGCAATGAGGAGTACAATTATTGAAAGTTGCAATAACAGGATACAGAGTTCAATTCTTTCTCTTTTTTTAGTTCTTGAAAACCTTGATGGGAAAGAAAGCTCTAGCCATACCTCTTTGGGATATAAAACCATGTCCTGTAGACACACATATGATCATGTCTCGTTCTACGTCGCCCCATGACTGAATCAGCTTTCCACTTGGGGTGTACAGGGTTCTGGCTGGGTGGGGAGTTTTGAGCCGAGAGGAGCAATTGTCAAGTAGCTGAAATATATAATATGAACGAAATCAACTGTCTTAGGAGAACAATTGTCTTAATTTGAATATTCGAATATTTACTCACAACAGCAAGGAACAGGTATAGAAGGAATGATATAGAAGGACTATGATATTCCCTATAGTGCTTAAATAAAGAGGATCTTCCATGAACTATTTTGTGGCTGTATTTTTCCATGGAAGAACACACCTTACTGTCTGAGAAATCCCCAAGTATAATAACTCCTGGACTGAGAATCTAGACATCATAAAATAACTTAGTGCTTCCTTTCTTCCTTGCATCCCTTCTTTCCTTTTTTCCATCCTTTTTTCCTTCCTTTTTTCTTTCTCTTCCTTTTTCTCTTTCTCTTTCTTCCTTTCTTTTTTCCTTTCTTTCTATGAGCAAGAAGCTAGAATGACAAAAGGTGAGGAGACCCACGTCTGCCTCTGTGTAGTCTTCAAATAAGTATGGTAATGACTATGAAAGAAAATAAATACACATAAAAGTTTGGATTTAAGCCTTTTTAACTACATGAATTTAATTTTTATAAAATTTATAAACACCTACAAGGACCTATTCCAGCTTCTCTCAGTTTTTCTTGCAGTATTCATGATAGCATATGAACAGATACAATGTCAATTGCACTAGAAAGATTAGCCACTGTGTTGCCTGACCCCTGAAAACAATTCCATTAAAAAAATGTGAGTAAGGCTTTAAGACAATACAATCAATGCAAGCAAGAAGACAACGTGTGGTGTCTGTACATTTTGCCTGTAAAACTTTGATTTATCAGAGAGCCAGAAGCTTATTTTCCCCAAAATGCAGGGGCAGGTCCACTCAGTTCCAAAACCACTAGTAATACTTCTGTCTATGCATCTATTTGAAGGCTACAATGCACAACAATGCAACGTGCCACGGACAGATCGATTGGGCATTGGATGTTACCTTGCATCTGCAAAATAAATTAGAAATATGAATCAAGATAGAAAATGTGGTAGGGTAATGCAATTGAATCAGTATAGTTTTTCACCCATTACTTTGGTTTGGAGGTAAATGATATAAACTGAATAATGGTCAAATTCATCCAAGATTACATTCCCTTCCATGGAGTGGGATAGAAAAGAAGGATGTCGCCTTCAAAGCAGTTCTACTCCACCTGCTAAGCAATAGCTAGTCAGCAGCAATTGGACTGAATATGTGTATATGAACCAAACCCTCAGGAGAGGACTCTAACCACTTCCTAGTAGATATTTGGGGTGACCAAAGAGAATACCAAAAGGTTAAGAAGAAAAATTGCCAGTAGCGATAATGTGAGGCTTATGTAAGCATTTGACCACATAAAAATGGTACATTGTCCTGGCAGTGAAGATTTTGGAACATGGTTACATCACTAGTACAATTCAGTTGTGCGCCAGTCAAATTTAGTATAACATGGCTCCCATAAACACATGCCCTAGAAAAATGAGATGACAATGTCTAAAAGGGAAAGAATGTTGTAGAAAAGAAGGCAGAGATGATAATGACAACAATGATTATAACTATGATAACAGCTCAAATGGACTGTAACATTTCTATAGACCTGGCGCATTGCTAAAAGTTCTCAAGGACAATCTAATTTTATCCCATAGAAATAATTGTTATCCTCCTCTGAATGATGAGAAAAATAGACAATGGAGAGGTTAGATATGACCACCAAGGCCACACAGTAAGAGAAGAGATGGCACTAAATTGGAACAAGGGGAAATTTGCATGAAATGAGGCAGGGAGGGAAAACAAAAGCTTCTGTATTACAGAAAATCAAATAAGTATTAGAGAGAGCTAGATAGAGAAAATTCTCCGAGGATGCAAAGAAAGTACTAGAGGCAAATTTATGAGAGTTAAACATCTGGAATATCAAGACATCGGCTATCAAATGTACACAATATTATGGTTACTGGAAATAAAGCCACAATAAATTAAGAAAGCAATTACTTTAAAAATAGAAGAAAACTTTTTTTTTCTCTCCCAAATAAAGAACCATTTTGAGATCATATAGATTGATCTAGGACAAAGCAAAATTTAATGGAAAAATAACTAACATTTAAACAGGATACTAGAAGTTTACAACCAGCCAAGTAATGAATTACAGTAAAAAGCTCCTGTATACAAAGCCCAGAATATACATCATCTATTTCAAATTGTTTAAAAATTGAGTCAAATTCCCTATTATTGGGAAGTCATAATATAAAATGACTAGTATTAATCATTACAATTTCCAAAACATGAGATACCTGCCACAAAAAAAATCAGAAAACATGGAATAAATTATTTTAAGTCTTCATATACATAAAATAAAAAGCTTAAGCAATATCAATAAAGGAAGTAAACAAAATAAAGAAAAATGAGAAAACTTTTCTTCTGATCTCTCATAGGTTCATTTATTTATATTTTTATGTTTATAATTATTATAACAAAAATAAATTATAATAAAGATATATAAACTCTTATAATAAACAATAAAATCAGAACAAGAGAAATAATTCACCTAAAGGAATAGGCAAAATTATCATGTGAACATGTAATATGATTCTTTTCTTAGAAAACTTAGATAAATCAAATGAAATAAGTAATAACACATGAGTATTAAATAAAATAACCAAATATAAAATAAAGTTTAAAACATTAATAGTTCTCATGGTTGCCCAAAATAGACATTTAGAAAATTCAGTGGTGGAATATTGATCAGAATAGAACAGAATAGATAGAACAGGTTCTAAGATAGGTCAGCTTATGATCTTTAAAGATATTCTTAATGCTTAGTGTTTCAAATGTTTACTCAAGTATTATTTTTAAAGAGAAAGAAAAGAAAGGAAGGAAGGAAGGAAGGAAGGAAGGAAGGAAGGAAGGAAAGAAAGAAAGAAAGAAGGAAAGAAAAAGAAAGAGAGAGATCAGACTTACAATTTTTATGATAAAGTTCACAGTAAAGGAACAATGTCTATGAATAATTCCTCACCCACAGTCTATTTTACAAGTTTAGTTTTCATAGAACAAATATTTTCAGAGTAGGGTTTCAGGGGCCTTATGAAACCACTTCATGCTCGCTGTGGACATGAGATATTTGCTGATCCAAATCAAAATTACCTGTGTTTCTTTCATGCATTTTTGTTCAATCATTTACGACTGTTCCTCTGCAGAGAAAGAACACAGTGATTTTGAGATCCCATGGAATCAAAAAGATATCACAGGGCAGAGAGAAAACAAATGCTTCAGACTAAGAAGGGTTTGGGCAAGCACACAGAAACACACATTGGTCCTGAAGAGAGAGCCACTAACCCTAGACAGAGGGCTGCCTGGGTACTTTGATGACTGATGAGCCAACCACAGTTGGAGCTAAGAACAGCCATAGCCATGTTCAAAGAGTAAAATGGGAAGAATAAGACCAAATCATCTAGAATAGCTGCAGTAGTGAGAGCAGTTGAGAGCAAACCTGCATTGGGCGGGATTCGAATAACATCTAGGGGTTTCATTATAGAAGGGGAAGAGAAGAACTCTGAAAGGTGCCTCTTTCTGATTCTTCAACCAAAAGTATCCACCATTGAAACTTTCACCACCTTCAGTGTCATTAATCAGATCCCTCCCAGGGAAATCTACACTCTACCCCTATATGCTGCCAGCTGGTCCAAATGCACAGTTCCTTCTCCAGAAGTGTTCTTTACAGCTGGAGAGTCTGGAAGCACATATTTCTAACTTACAACCAAGAATATCCTGCAAGTCCCTAAACAGAAATACAAGGCATGACAAAGGAAAAGACTGGGAAAAAACTGGTTTGTAATAAAGCAAATATCTTAATATCTTTTCTATATCAAGACGCCTTTTATCTCACATGCCATGACTTTATTCAGAAACAAGCAGAAGTTCAAGCACTTCAGTCTGGAATAGTGTTATGGACTGAATTCTGTCCTCTTGAGAGTCAGACTGAAGCCTTAGCATCCACTGTAACTGCATTTGAATATAGAGCCAGCTAGAAGAAGGTAATTAAATTTAAGTAAGGTAGTCATTTAAAGGATGAAGATAAAATGTATAATCGCATATATAATGCACTCTTTTCTCAAACCAAGCACAATCTCCAAGCACCAGACTACTTAGGAGGCTGCGATCTAAGGATCAAGGTTCAAAGCCAGCCTGGACAGATAAATCTGAGAAATCTGTCTTCAATTAATTAGCAAAAAGCTGAAACTGGAAACCTAGTTCAAATGGTAAAGTGCTAGCTGTGAGCTAAAAGGACTAAATACTATTTGAAATATCACCGCAACGGAAATTTTGTTTCAGAAAAACTTCCAGAATCCCTTTTTATGTGATTAAAATTTTCATTTAAAGACAAAATGTCAAAGATTGGGTGTAATGGTGTGTGCTTGTAATCCCAGCTACACCAGAGAGGTAGGAAGATGACAGTCTGAGACTGGCCTAAGATAAAAATACAATAACCTGTCTGAAAAATGACAAAGAAAATATTAAAAAGACTGTGACTCAAGTATTAAAGCACGTACCTGCTTAGCAAGCACAGACCCTGAGTTCAACCCACAGCCCACCCCACCCCCCCGCACCGACGTTGTCAAGTTCGTTTTTGACATGACAACTTGTACTTCTCATTGTTGCAACAGGTCTCCACCTGTATCTTTAAACGACTTGTTTTTCCCCATCTCCTCCACAAGTTATACTGACATCAAATATAGTGAAAGCAGGGGTTATACTGTGGGGGAGGGACATAGAAAGCAACAAGGAAGTAATCTTATAAATGTGTTAGAAACACATGCATGAAAGAAAAAAACATTAAAATACATATCTAAGGGTTCATTTTCCTAACATACATATACTAGATATTGCAAATAAGGGAAACCATGGGACCTATGTTTCTTTGGGCCTGGCTTACTTCACTTAATATAATTTTTTCCAAGTTTTCACATTTCATTTTGCTTTCATACAAGTTCAATTCTTAACCAGGCCAACCCAAACAGAAGGTTACTGTGCCCATTTCCCAGGTGAGAAAGTAAAGCTCAGAGAAGTAAATTGTAGATCTAAAGATGTAATATTGTCAGGGGTAGACTGAAATGCAGGCCTATTGGGCCCCTTTCACATGAAATTTACCTCTGAAATACTTTTGCCCCAGGCAAAGGTGCCATCTTCAGGAGATTGTCCATTCATATAAGCCCAAACTCGTTTGGTGTTGGGTTGTTTGTACAGGCTGCTCTGCTGGATTGCGTTACGTTTGGTCACAGTTGGAGACTTTGGTTTGGATTGTAGTTCTTGGACCTCAGAAAGATGTGCCTGTCAAGAAAATCCCAAAGGATACCACACCTGGAGAACTATTTAATGTATGCAAGGAATGTGATACACACCAGAAATACCTTGTAAATTCAATATGCTATAATAGGGTATTATAGGAGATTTTTCGAAGCAACAATGAAATGCATTAACCTCTCCTGTTACAGACTCGCTGATAAATTCCTCTTGCTTCAATGAAACATTAAAGACATCAACAATCAGTGGGGTAATAATAAGAAGGCCATCGTTTTGGCAAGCATTGAACTTTCATTTATAATTTGGAGACATGAAGGCAGATGTGTTTCTAGATTTCTGCACGCTGTTTCTCCTACTGAGAGATTTCTCTGCATCTCACAAATGAGTTTTTGATTTAGAATCACAACATCATTTCCTTTAACTAAAAACAAAATCATTCTTGAGGTATTGGACATGAGTGTTGTTTAAATCCTTACTTGCTATCTTTTAAAATTCAGCAGTCACTCTTCTACTTTGCCAGATCCCTGCCAGGCAGCTTTTCATCCGACTTCAAGCAGTTCAATGCTTTGCATTCACTCCCTGGTCAGTGATTTATCCTTTTTAACTTGGCAAGAAGTCATATTTCTAGCAATGTCAATTTATTTTTTTCTAGTAACCTTGACTTAGGCACATGCCTAACATTTAGGTTGAACGTATTTTAGGAATTTGAGGAAACCTATTAAATAGGAACATAGCATTTGATGAAAAACTTCACAAAGTAAAAGGTTTCCCTGGTCTCTATCCCCAGTCCTCTCTCAATAGCTGACCTTTCTCTTTTCAACGTTTTTATGCCTGGCAATCCTGACTGATTAACCACTTGGACAGAAACCACTTTTTCAATACCTCACTTTTGAATGTCTCCATTGCAATTAGTATTTTGCTCCTTGCTCCTTTTACATATTGAGACATACCCTCAGGAGCAATGAGCAATGAAGCCATCAGGCTCAACTTGACTACACTTATTGTAATTACTTTTCTACAGATCCTTTGGGCCTTTTTCTCTTCTTTGCTAAGGTCATAATTTCTGGTCTCCATTCAAACACAACAGATTTTCATATGAGCTGGCTTGTCTCTTTCATAGTTACTCTCCAAATGCCAATTTCAAGGCTTGGCATATGCTCCTATGGTCATAACTGACCAGATGCTAAGACTGTATTAATAGCATCATTTTAAAATTCCAGATTGCACTTCTAAATTCTTATAAAAGGTGGCAGAGACTTTAGGGTCTGGAATCCTAGAAAGCATACCTCTGTCAGCCTTATAAGTTCCATGAGTTTAATTTCCTCTGGAGTCTGTTCTGTCCAGCCACCTTCTACCACCACCGGCTGAGCAGGGCTTTTGGTGGGAACCATGGTGGCTGGTTGACGTGTTGCTACTCGCCGCCCTAGGGAGGGAAAACATTTCTAGAAATGGTTGTTTCTGATGACAGGTCTTCAACTTTCAAATAAATTGGTTCAGCTCTCTGTCTATAAATTATTCCGTCCAGGAGCATAGGCTAAACTATTAAAATATCATAAAAGCAAAGATGCCTAAGGTAATAATACTTAACAATACCTCTTCCTATGGGAGCTTGAGGCAGTAAATGGCCAGGATAGGCACACTCACTTCACAGATGGGAAAGAAGGATAACACACTGACTTCCACCCTGGCCCCAGCCTTGCTTGCACGTTACAGTTCAGCAGTTAATTTAGTCAAATAGAATTCATGACCTTATTTAGTCCCCATCATCTCTTCCAGTCTTCGAACATATGTTTTGTTCTCTTTGCTAATAATAAGCCTTTCCCCCACAATTAGCTTAGCAGCCTGGGGATTAAGTATTTCTAAAATAATATTAACCCAAGAGACAAGAACCCTTTTTTTTTCCTAGCTAATAATACCCTGTGAGCACAATTAGTTTCTGACACCTCTACTGCGCCCTTTATGCTATTAAGAAGCTGTGGTGAGAGAAAATATTTATTGGAATACTATATTCTGGAATATCACAGACATAATTTAATAAGAGTAGTGATTCAAATTTATGCATTCTTTCAAGAAGACCACTTAAAATCATTATAAAAGAGGTTTAAAAAGTCACACTTATGAAATGATTTTCTTGTTCTGTGTTGAAGATATAGTTGGCCTTGAATCTCCTACTGAGATATAAATTTCTCAACTAAAAGTAATGTTTTATCTTGTATAATCCTTCCAGAAATAATAACTGTGGGTCAGGAATTGTATTGAATGATGCAAACACAAACATCTTTGAGAGAGTCCATATCTCAAGTTTGGTAGGGAAAACAGATGTCAAGAAAATGATTGTTGCTATAGGTTGCAACTGGGCTGTGTAATAGGGTCTTGCAGAGAACATACCTGGGGACATTGATCTCATCCAAGCTGTCAGCAAAGACATCTTTGTGAAAGTAAGAGTTAGGGTGAAAATAAGGACTAGAAGCATGGCTCGTGTGGTAGAACACCAGCTTTGAGGGAGGACTATTCAAAGGAAGGTGATTGTATTCACCCACCATTCCTGTCACCATTCTATCCCAAATACCCTTGGACAACACATATTTCAGCTTTCTGGTATTTATTTTGTTAAGCTGTCGATTAATTATTCAAAAGAGTTGAGATGAGTGAGGTTGAGATAGATGGAGAGGCGAATGATAGAGTGACACTGGACACTGATCAAGATGCACTGAAGCCATAAATTGGCATATGTTGAATTGAAACCCCTTTGTGCACCTATTTACAGGTAATAAAAATAAATTAATTTAATTTATTTTTTGTCAGTTGTGGGGCCTGAACTCTGGGCCTGGGCACTGTCCCTCAGCTCTTCAGCTCAAGGCGAGCACTCTACCACTGAGCCATCTTCCCAGGCCCAATAAATTTAATTTTTAAAAGGAAGGTGAATCTCAGTTTTGTTGACAAGGTACTCTTACTGTATATGTTTTCAGACAAGGCTAAAAACAAAACTCTTGGAAATAATCTATTATTTGCAAAGGATAAACAATTTGTGTCTTATAAGTCAAGTTTATGCAAATAGACCCAGCAATAAAAATACATGGCAGCAGTGACTTTTCAAGGAAACCAGAACTACATGTACTTCAACATCACTCACATACAATTTTTGAAGGTGGGAAAAAAGCAACTGAATCAATCAGCCAATGAGTTTTAGTGTTAATACTACTAGCTAAAGTACTTTGCAAAACACCACAGTGGCTCCGTAACACAAATTCATACTAACTATAGTTTTTACTAACTTTATTCATGGAATACAGATGACATTAATTTATGATGTTATAACTTTTAATGGATAATATTGCAACAAGTACGTTATTTATAAGGCATCCTCAGCATTAAAATTTTCTTCAATTAAAGAGAGTTCAGCAATTGTTTACTATTCATACTATTGAGAGCCAGAGACTAATTATAAGAACCATGAAAATATATTATGCACGATTTATTTTTTGTCAACCTGTTTCTAATGGTCTTCAGCAAATGAATACAATTGCACCGTAAGTCTTATGAAGATACTCCATCAGAAAAGGTTTCGGTTTGGGAAAGGTTTTTATAATAATCTGTTATTTATGTAGGTACGAATATCATAAATTAAAACAAAGAAAAAACTGGCATATGCATTATTTTATTTTATTGTTACTTTTGCCCATATATCCTATGCTATTTCACATGAGATCATCGATAGTCATGATAATAGCTAACAAATAATGGAGCATGCCTCTTCCCTACTCCTAAGGTATCATTTCATGTGGATAGAGCCTTGCTGATATTGCAAAGTGAAAACTAGGAAAAATAAGCTAAATACTTTGGCCCCTTTTTACCTTTTTTTTCCTGGAAGCTGCGTAACAAGTGTTTTACTATTCTTTCACTTATGTCTCAACCTGGACAGTTCTCCTCATGGCCCTCCTTTGTTGAGAGACCCACCCTTGTTCAGCTTCTGCAGTGTCTGGAAGAGGGAATCCATCCAGCTGAGAGCTGGAACTCTCATACTAAACAGCGTTATCTTTATAAGTAACAAAGGTGATGCGTTGGCTTATTCTGCACTCCTGAGTTTCAGACCCCATGATGGAAAATGGCTGCCTTGTCAGGAAACAGGCTACCACATGGGATTTCAGCCTTGTCCTAAAGATGCTAGGGATGCTTGAAAGATTTTATTCATGAAATACTATATCACCCATATTTCTGCTTGTTCATTACAACTTCAGAATATCACCACTATAAGGAAAAGTATTGCCAAGACTGGAAGCAGGAAGAGGAGTCAAAAAAAGCTGTTCCAGTAATCTAGGGAACACATGATATAAGCTTAAAGCTGGATACTGAGAGTAGAGATGTAGAGGTTAGAATTCATGTGAGATCAATCTCACAAATCAAATTAATAAGACTTCCAAATAGTTGTTGAGGAAGGAGACAGAGAGGGAGATACCAAGAATGACTCCAGTGTTTCTGTGAAAGAGCATATGGATGGATGACAGTAGAATCCACTGCTGGAGGAAACAAAGAGGTGTTGAAGTGAAGGATATAAAAGCCTTAGTTTTGGATATCCCCAACATTTAATGTCTACCTGTAGGAATAGAGGATTTTTTGAGTAGTAATAGATGCCTTTACTTGAACTCTACCATCATTCCTTTGGTAAGAATTTCATAAGGACCATTTCAAACCAGAGTTGTCTTCTGCATTTAGAAATGTTTAGGTTATTTACTAAGACTACAAGAGAGTACACCTATTTAGAAGTTGAATTACAAAAGGTGTTGACTCTTAGACTTAAGTCTATAGGGTATCCTTTCTATTACAAAGAGATTCTCAAAAACTCACTTGTAATTCAAGTGTTTAGGTAATATAATGTCAGCATTGAGACTTCCTGACAAAAAGTACAAAGAAGACACATAACAACAGATTTTTTTTGCTATGACTAATGTGTATTAGGCTGCTTGAAAAAAGAGGGGTCTTTGAGATATTGAAACCAAATTTTGAGGATTTCAGCGCTTCCTCATCCCAGTTATTTAAAGCAAAAGCAAACTCAGGAAAAGTACAAACACAACTTCTTACCAGCAATACTGAAGTCAGTCGGGTTAAAAAAATAACTAAAACCCATAGAATTCATAAAATGTTAAGTCGGGGCTTACTTCACAAGCACTAAGAGATATTGTCATCATTTTTAATGTTTATATGTTATTTAGCATTTCGTTTAATATAAAGTTTGCAAATATTAAGTTAACGGTGAAAGGTTATGCTTTTAAAAATCCAATAGATTTCAGAATTTGCTCATGGGAATTAATGTAGGGCAATAGTTAAACAATAATTACTGGTTAAATAAGACATTCATAGGTAATTGTAGAAATAACCATCAGCAAGCAAGCTTATATTTAGAGTTAAACATGGAGATGTATAGTTTAGTTCATACTGACCTTTTAACTGTCTCATTTTGTGTTTCATGGTATCTAAATCAGCCAAAAGTTTGTCCTTTTTCAGCCAGTTTCGTTTCTCTTCTTTTTCTGCTTTCTGTAAAGCTAATATAAAAAAATGCGTGATATTTTATCTTGCATTCCTTTATCAACAACATTTATCATGAACACCAATAATTTATAAAGAACTTTCTGCTTCAAGAAATTGATTCAATTAGAAACAAGTAATTAAAAGGTAAGGGTCATTAAAAAGAAACCTCATTTGAAAGATGACAGGGCTTAAGGCATTTTTTATGGAACAGAGGGAGAAAAAGAGCGATGCTGTTTTATTATATAGATTTACCATATGCAATAGCCATATTTCATTTTCCACTTCCACAAACTATTTGGAGGTGATGAAAGCCTGGCTTGGAACCCATTCATTTTTTAAACATCCACCTAGTGCCTAAAGGGTACAATTCTTAAAAATGAAAATGTGTAGACAGGTCGTCCTCAGTGTGAATTAAACTCATTTGTTATTTTCTAATGTATACCATTATTCTCAGTCTTATAGACCAAGGATCTCTTTATCAACTAAATTAGACATTTCTCCACGCAGAATACTCCATTCCAGTAAGAAAAAGCAGTCAATTGTGCAAATATGAGACCATTGCTATCCTTGTGCATATATTAATTGATGGACTGCCTGTGTTTTTGCATAAATGTGATGTTATGTTGACATTCTGCCTATTAATTCATTTTCTTATGCTGACATAAAATTTGTTTCTCTCTCTCTTTATAAACTTCCTTGAAGGAATGCAAACTAAGAAGCTCACCATTTGGAGGTAGAAATGGCTCACCGCAAGATACCCAGATGGCAATAGGATTTCTCAGAACAAGGGTGAGCAAAACCTCATCTACACCATCCAAACAAGCAGATTTCCCAGTTCCTTGAAATAGTTTGTTTTTTGCTTTCATTATTGAGTTTTCTGAAAAATAAATGACACATATTCAATGAATAAAGGAAAGCATGCCTTCTGAGAATGTTTATGAAAAATATCTCATTAAAAACTTTATTTAAATAGAAGATACAAATATTAGAGACCATAAATCTGGTTAGCCTCTTAATACATCAAGGATAGAAATCTCACACAAAGAAAGCTCTGCTGATTCCACTACTAGCATCATTTTATTTCATTACTAAAGTGTTTTAAGATACAAATCCCTCCTCTCAAATTAGAACAAGACCCACAAAGATGCACCTTATTAGAGGCTGTACTATGATTTTCAATAAGGGACATCAACTCAAGCTTCTGGCAGGTGTTAAAAGCAGTGCAGACAGCAAGACAGAGGAGAGTTAGATGGCTAGAGTCTTTCTCTTCTAATAATAAGAGGAGATTTGGTCTAACAATGATTACGTACATGCTGTCAGTTGGCTGTTGTTTCTGAATTTGGAAACAAAAGATGATCCATGAAGTAGCTAAACTATCTAAATCACTTTGATAATTTTATGGAATTCATTTTTTCTATGCTAAAGTCAAATTTTACATTTTTTGCCAGCCTGGGGCTTGAACTCAGAGCCTGGGCACTGTCCCTGAGGTGTTTTTGTTCAAGGCTAGCACTGTATCACTTGAGCCACTTCTGGTGTTTTCTGTGTATATGGTACTGAGGAATCAAACCCAGGGCTTTCTGTATGCTTGGCAAGCACTCTACCACAAAGCCACATTCCCAGCCCCTATATTATTTTTACTTTTCCTTCTTTTGCAAGGTAAAGTCATTATGAGAATCATATTGATACTCAGAATCACTTACCAAAGTAGCTGACTGGGATTGAAAAATTCTAACAATGAAAACTGAATGAAAAAAAAAATCACATTAACTTTTTTCATGGCTGCATGTAAGTAGAACCAGCTAATAACTGAGTTAGACTATAGCCAACCTTCGATATTTTCAATAGTGCTCTCTTCTCTTTCAACAGGAGCTCTGTCATTCTTCTGTTCCTCAGTGCATCTTTGGATACAAGCTTCCTCTAGAGCCCATAAAACTAAATCGTGCAGAGAATGGATTGTGGTTCCATCTCTGGTATACACTTTTGAGGCTGCTCTGTTAAGTCCAAGTTGTTCCATGCATTCTGTAAGAAGCTATATAACACAAGCTGTAAAGGACTGACATGGACAACAACAGCCCTGAGAAGAATAACAAAGAGCTTGCAATTTTAGAAATTTGGGGAAAGACTTTATGTTTAGACAGTAGAAATTCGAGAACCGAGTGATCTTGCTGGTTACATAGCGATGCGTCTGATGGTTGCCCTACCTGATCCCGCAACATCAGGCTTATCCAGCTGTAAAAATTCTTAGCTCTGAAGATTTCACTTAGCAGTTATGCATGCCAAAAGATATGCAGCATGTGAGTATTTTGTCAAAAGTTTTTAACCTAGAAATCTACTTTCATTGCTGAAACTTCTTTGCACAACTACTTAAAGATAATAATTTTTTTAAAAATCGACTTTCATTTTGTTGCTCTATGAGGTCTAACGCTGCAGTATTTCAGATGGATGGACAGCTTTAAATAAATGAGTAAATTTTTAAACAAGAACTGACTTATACTATTGTCACTGTTTTACAGATAGAAAGTGGGATGGAAGGTTAGTATTTTTTCCAAGATCTTTATAAAAGCCATTCTTTGAGTTACTAACTCTTATACTTTACATAATGCAATGTAGAGAGATATCTTACTTTAAAAATCCATTTTTTGATCACAGGAATTAGTGAACAGGTGTGTATGAGTGTGTTTGTTTGCACAGCCTGGTATGTAATTCCATGTTATAGGTAACATCTTTGTAAAATGTGTATTGAAAACATTGACCAGAACGTTTAACAAGACTATCATGAGACAATGGAAGGACCAAGCTGGCCTGTGCTTTTCCTCTCTCCCAAGGACAACACAGCCTAAAAGGAAGACCCAAAGTCATTCCAAACACATTCCTCAATTCTCTCATTCAGCATGAAGTGAGATGCTTTATCAATAAATATGTGTTTAAATGACCCAGCTGATAAGGGAGGTGACATTTCTTAGACTATGAATTCATGTGGCATAAAACTTGAAGCTGGCCTGGGAAACATGAGAGGAAAAAGCCTCTGTTCTTCACAAGAAAGAAGGAAATTTGGTATTATTGTTTTATCTTCACTTTTGCACCAATCTAAAAGCCATAGTGTGGTGCTTAACTACATGACCTAGTGCTCTTGCCTGGCTTTTTCTCTAAATGCTGGCACACTATCACTTGAGCTATACCTCCACCTCTGGCCTTTTACTGGTTATTTCCAGATGTGATTTTCATGGATTTGTCTGGTTTTGAACCCAAATCTTCAGATTTCAGCCTTCTGAGTCACTAGAATTGCAGGCATATTTTTGTTTCTTCCCAAAAGCCTGTATTCAAAGAAATAAACTTTTTAAAAGAATGCCTTTAAAAATCTGAGATCTTGATCTCATCAATTTGAATTGGTGCCTCTGGTTGAGGACATTTATCACTCCACCTCACTGCATTCTCTCACCACTATCATTACCTCTGACGATGCAAAGCACCATTAAGTGATAGTCACTTACCATGGGGAATGTTTTAGCCACAATTAACTTTCCATTGCGGTATCCTTCCCCATTTCTGTATGCAATTATCTTCACTGACTGCTGGTTCAGAGCTGCCACATCCTTGTGAGCCATAGTTGGCGGGCAAGCCTTTGTCCGTAAGGATAACAGACGTTCTTCATAATAATTTAGAGTTTTCTCAACCTCATCAGATGATAGATCAACCTGATTTGTTGAAGAAAAAAATATATGAACACAAACAGTTTTCTTTCAGTTTTGCTACTTTGGCATATTTCAATCCCCAATCTCTTCACTTAATGAATATATGTGTGTGTGGTAGTAAATTTTGCACAGCTAACCTCATATACTAGAGATTTCTCATGCCATAGTAGGAAGGATTTGGCGTTAGTATTCTTGCTTTCTTTCGAACCTTGTCGTTTGCGTTACAGGGTGACTTGTGGGACTCTCACTTGAGGGTTTTGCCTTCTGTGTGTGTTTTATTTTGTCTTGCTTTGTTTAGCCTGGGAGGTGAGGGAACTTTTTGTTGTTGTTGTTGTTTCTTTTGATTTTTTTTTTTGTCGGTTGTGGGGCTTGAACTCTGGACCTGGGCCCTGTCCCTCATCTCTTCAGCTCAAGGCTAGCACTCTACCACTTGAGCTACAGCTCCACTTCCTCTTTTGATTTTTCTCTACAACAAATGATGGAAGAAGATTCCAGGACCAGAGTGACTCTGAAGGCTCAGTAAGGGAACACTAACATGACAGATATTCTCTGAAATTTTTACTTCAGGAGACTGTCACTCCAGGGTGGAAGCTATTAATGAATGAGGAGTGGAATC